GAGTACAAACAAGAGCTCCTGACCTAGGGTGTGGTTAATTGGTATTTTGAGTATAGAGGTAGGTCAGTTCCACCTTGCTATTACTGCTTTTTCAAAGAGGATTGGCAGGAGGATCCAGGGAGTAGCTGCCTGCAGGATACCTGGTCTAGTCCTTATATCGTGTTAATGAAGTCTGTTGCCTCCCCTCTCCCCTTCTGGAGTGAAGTATATAAGTGTGTGGAAAATAAATGCAGGCAGGTTCAGTATTCACTGAATGTCCCTCCCGATGCTGTTCTGTGTTTCTGTCTCTTATTTCTCTCATATCTCTGTTCCTTTTGCTTAATAATTCTAATCATCGCGCGCTTACCCTGGATCGTGCAAACCTAATTGGGGTTGGATCCCGATGGATGTCACCCCAACATGTGGCCTATGACAGATGTCAGCCCAACATGTGGCTTATGACAGCTAGTCCCATCATATCTACAACCAAGTGTGTTATAGCTGAAGGGAAGTGTTGCAGCTCTGAGGTTCCGGAAAGGTACCCTGGCAGTACGGAACCAAGGGATACCATAAAGTCGCATTGCACATCAAACCTCAGACAAGAAATGTATTGGGAAGGACACAAGAAGGTGGCTACTTCAGTTTGGCTGAGAAGCATCAAGGAGTTGAGCAGGAGGTGGGTTTTATATAGGGTTTCTTGGGGGCAGGGTTTTCCAGGGTGGAGATTTCCAAGGTGGGGATTGATGGGATTTCAAGGCAAGCCCAAGGATTGGTGGTTTTTTTGAGCCCAGAGAAGTGGATTTTCAAGTTCGGGGAATGGTGGTTTTTGAGCTCAGGGACTGGTGGGTTTTAGTGAGTTTTCAAACCCAGAAGTAGATTTGAACCTTTTAGCCTACACCAAGAGCAGAGAGAGAAATGAATGCACGCACACTTCTTCCTTATGTGTTTTCTCATATATTGTCCAGGGCTCCAAACCAGGGAATGGTGCCTCCCTCTCTCAGACTGAGTCTGCCCACATCAGCTAAGGCAATCAAGACAATCTCCTACAAACATGTCTGCACACATGTAGTAAATGTTCATGACCTTTTACGAAACATGTTAAGGAAATGGTAGCATTAGTGCGATTGAGGGTAAAAATCTTCAGTATGCTGTCATCGTGTGTCCTCTATCGGGCTCCTACGCAAGCTTAAGTGAAGGGGTAGGCGTTTTCTCTTTCTTTTCCTTTCCCTTCCTTCCTTCCTTCCTTCCTTCCTTTTTTTCTGTTTTGTTTTATTTTTCAAGACAGGGTTTCTCTGTGTAATAGCCCTAGCTATCCTAGAACTTGCTCTATAGACTAGGTTGGCCTCAAACTCACAGAGATCTGCCTACCTTTGCCTCCTAAGTGCTGGGACTGAAGGTGAGTGCCATCACAACCTGATGTGGGAGGTAATGTATACTGTGAATATGTTTTATTGCCATTGGTTAATAAAGAAGCTGCTTTTGGTTAATGGTTTAACAGAGTAAAGCCAGGCTGAAAGAGATTTATAGAGAGAGTAGGCAGAGTCAGAGAGAAGCCATGTAACTACCTGCAGGAGATAGACACACTGGAACCTTGCTGGTAAGCCATAGCCACGTGGCGATACACAGATTAATAGAAACGGGTTAATTTAAAATATAAGAGCTAGTCAGAAATACGCTTAAGCTATTGGCCAAAGAGTATTGCAAATAATATAGTTTCTGTGTGATTATTTCGAGTCAGGGCGTTTGGGAAATGGACAAGCAGCCTCCGCCTACAACCACCACTGCGTGGCAGGGGTTAGGTGTTTTAAACAGAAGTGGTCAGCAGAGCTCTGAAGAATAACCTTAACAATTGTCACCTTGAGCCACATGCCAGGGGTGTTTCCAAAACAAAGCTGTGGGTGACTAATGCTGTATTGGTCAGTCACATGGCTTCCAAAATTAGTTCAAGTTAACTAAAAGCAGAAAATTAAAAGCTTTAAAGTTTATTTAGATTAGCCCTTGACTTCAGTATTTTCGCCAAATGATTAATGCCACACAGACCTTCCTTCATAACAGAGACACCACGGTCTTAACAAGGAGTCTGCTTCCTCTCCAGGAAGTCTTACACAGAGAAACCCTGTCTTGAAAAATAAAACAAAACAGAAAAAAAGGAAGGAAGGAAGGAAGGAAGGAAGGAAAAGGAAAAGAAAGAGAAAACGCCTACCCCTTCACTTAAGCTTGCGTAGAAGCCCGATAGAGGACACACGATGACAGCATACTGAAGATTTTACCCTCAATCGCACTAATGCTACCATTTCCTTAACATGTTTCGTAAAAGGTCATGAACATTTACTACATGTGTGAGGATACAATGTAACAGCAGTTTGAAGTCCTTTTGTTGCTCAACACAGTAAACTTACTGAAGGAGAGACAGTGTTTGAGAATATTTACACACCGTGTTTACAAAGCTCATTTCGGTCTTTTAGTTGTGGTGCCGCTGTTTGTTTTGCACTCTCAGACGGTGGTGATCTGAATTGCACTGTTAGAAGTAGTTCATGGAAAGAACTTGACAGGGACAGATCAGAACTTAGGGAGTCTCATGTGAACAGCCCGAGTGTCCTGAATTGCTCTCCTCTCTTTCTGGTCGGCTTCTTTCAGTCTATTTGCTGTTTAGGTGAAATGGGTCCTTAGTCCTGGTCCTAGGGAGAAAATGATCCTAAAGTTTCAAGATCTTCCCAGTCCAGGGAGCCTCTGCAGGGGCTTAGGCAAAGAGAATTTAAGAAAATCCTTGGGCTGGGCGTGGTGTCACACACCTTTAGCCCCAGCACTCTGGAGGCAGAGGCAAGTGGATCTCTGTGAGTTGGAGGCCAGCCTGGTCTACAGAGTGAGTTCCAGGACAGCCAGGGCTGTTACACAAAGAAACTCTGTCTCAAAAAGCAAAAAAAAAAAAAAAAAAAAAAACCAACAACACCCAAAAACCCAAAGCACATGATTACATATGTGGTGGCCGAGTTCCAATTCAAATAGAAAACATGTATGTAGGTTTGGTCTTTTTTATATTTTAATTTATTTTATGTATATGAATGTACAAGTGTTTTGCCTACATGTATGCATGTGTACCATTTGCATATTTGGTGCTCAGGGAAGCCAAAAGAGGGAAGCAGATTCCCTGGATCTAGAGTTACAGGTGGTTGTGAGCCTCCATGTGGGTACTGGCTCCTCTGTAAGAGCATCTTTGACATCTGAGCCATCTCTCCAGTCCCATTTTCTAAAAAACTGATGGTGAGTGGAACCAAGTTGTACCTAGTTTTACATCCTAGATCCTCAGTTATTTTGAGACAGGGTCTCACTTCAGGCTGGTCTGGAATTTACTATGTAATTCAGTCTTGTTGGAAGTAAGAATCCTTCTGCTTGGGACCATACTCAAAGCAAAGCGGGGGGCATTTTGGAATGTAGGCATTAAAGGCATGTACCACTACACCTGCTTCATGTGAGGCTGGGGGTACCATGCAGCGCCTTGCATATTCAAGGCTAATACTATACCAGCTGAGCTACATCCCTTAGCCCTGGGCCAGGTGCTTACAGAGCTTTTCCCCTCTGTGTCCTCCTGCCTGCTTGCTAGGGCGCATGCATAATCCCATACTTCTTAAAAAATTATGCAGCAAATGTTAATCAAGCATCTAAGTCCCAGATTACATACAAGAACCATAGGAGTAACACAATCCAGGATAATATTTGTGACGGTTACATGACAAAAAAATCTTTTGCTTTATTCTCTCTTGGTAAATCGTGTTTGCATCCAATTTTGTAATAACTTGGACTTCGTAGCTTTCCTCAACTTTATTTGATTAAATTCTGTAGGAAATGTGGCCTTTGAAATCGTACTGAAAACCCAGAGGCAGTATCTTTAAGAGATTAGTAGAGTGATGGAGGAAGGTCATTGGCTAATAAAGGAACTGCCTTGGCCCATTTTATTGGTTAGAACATAGGTAGGTGGAGTAAACAGAACAGAAGGCTGGGAGGAAGAGGAAGTGAGCTCAGACTCCACAGCTCTCCTCTCTGTAGCAGACGCCTCAGAGAGATGCCATGCCCCGCTCCCATCTTCCCGGTAAGACCGGTGCTACAGTTTATTAGAAATGGGTTGATCGGGATATCAGAATTAGCCAGTAAGGGCTAGATAGAAATGGGCCAAGCAGTGATTAAATGAATACAGTTTGTGTGTTGTTATTTCGGAGCATAAGCTAGCCAGGCTGCCGGGGTGCTGGGAACGCAGCCCCGCCGCCCCTATTTACTACAGTAGAGATTTGTTCCTAAAAAAGCCAAAAATATGGTTGGATGGATGGAAAAAGAATCATCAGGCTGAAATAGCACTTTGGCTTTATTTTGCGGGTGGCGACGGGAACCAGTACAGGCTGGACGTGTAACTTCGTCTCTTCAGGTCTGGGTTTCTGAATAGCTTTCTTTTTTTTTTTTTTTTTTTTTTGGTTTTTCGAGACAGGGTTTCTCTGTGCCTTTGGAGCCTGTCCTGGAACTAGCTCTGTAGACCAGGCTGGTCTCGAACTCACAGAGATCCGCCTGTCTCTGCCTCCCGAGTGCTGGGATTAAAGGCGTGCGCCACCCTTGCCCGGCTGAATATCTTGAAGCACGTGCTCAACTCTCGGCAGCAGGTGAACAATGCTCACCCGCAGAAATGCAAAGTGATCTTGCGGAGTAGGCGTGGGTTCACCACGAAAGTGTTCTCGCCAACTCTGAGGTGCTTGTGTTGACACCGCCAGAATCCGCAGCCAGCGAGGTCCAGACTTTCAGCTCCTGGACAACAAGCAGAGTACCGCGCCAGCCCCGCCCTCAAGAATCAAGCCCCGCCCCTGCCTCTCCGGCCTAACTCTGATTGGTCGCCGCTATGAGCACGGCTCTCGCCCCGCCCCGCCTCCGAGGCCCCCGCCCCGCCTCCCGGCGTTATGGCCCGCCCACGCAGGCCACTTGCTGCAAGCCCATTGGTTGCTGCGGTGCGCACGGCGCCTCGCTCCCGCCCCACCGGCGCATTGGCCTCGCGCCCGCCGCCGGCTGCCGGGCTGAGGTTGAGCGGGCCGCAGCTACCCCGGCCGACGCGCACCCTCGACGTCCCTGCGCCCGCCTGGGGACGGTGTGGACGTCGCAGGTAGCCGGGTGAGTGCGGCTGGCAGGTCTCGGGCTTCCACCATCCGCCGATCGAGCTTGGGGCGCCGGCCCTGCACGGCCTGAGGTGCTGTGGCGCCGCCGGAGTCGGTGCGGAGGAGCGCGCGGGCGACCCGCGGGGCCCGGCCTGCGCCCGCGTCCGCTCGGCCGCCCGTGGCTGTGACGCGGCCGGGAGAGGCCGCTCCGCCGCGCATCTCTTCCGGAGGCTGGGAGGTTTCTAACTCGTTCCCTGGAGCGTCCCAGTGCGACCGGTAGGGATGCACGACCTGCGGGGCGCCGCCGCCGCCTCGGCCCCACGGGGGTCTGGGGACGAGCGACCCTCCCGTTTGCTCGGAGCCATGGCCGGGAACTGTCCGTGCTGCCTTGACTTTCCCGTCCGCCCTCCGCCCCTGCAAGCGCAAGGATGAGAGGGAAGTCTTTGGGAATTCATCCTGAGTGGCGAGTGGCCTTTGCAGGGAAGTAGCGCGGATGGTGGTCGCGGTGGCGGTGGCTGTTGTGGGCTAGGCCGGTTTTCAGCCGGTGAGTTGGTTTGCGAGGTCGCCACTGGAAGGGACTTCAGCCCGAAAGGCAGATACTTGACCTTTCCAGCTGTAGCGGTGGAGGGACGGGCGGGCTCGCGTCCACAGTGCTGCCGCGATGGGAGGAGGGGGCGTGGGAACTCGAGTCTCGCTCGGGAGTGGATATGCTCACAAAATCAGCCTCCTTTTCCCTCGCTCGCAAACTCTTCACCCTGCTGGGACCACAGGTCTCATTTCTAGATAATTCCAGAGGCGCCTATTCCTTAGCTTGCCAGCCTTTTTCATCATCCTCACTCCGTGGGTTTCCAAAGAGCAGAGCCAAGCGATTTTACACTTTAACCGAGCAAGCGTAGTGTATAAGGACTTCCTGCTCCTAAATTGAAACCCAGAGGTTAATCTGCATAGCGATACTGCAAGAAAAGCAGGTTAAATTGGAACGGGGTGAGGACGTAGTTTTTCCTCTTCAGGAGACACGCCCTTTTGACCTCCCCTTTCTTCCCAGCTGGCAGCCTTCAAGGCTGTGTTTTGTTGGTTTTCGTTTTCTAAATTCACTTCTGGGGTCCAGGGGTAAAGAATTAATCTTGTATAATCCTTATTTGCCTTTTAGCGTAATAAAACTAAAATGTGTAGCACAATTTCAACATTACAGAAGGCTATCAAGTATTTAGACAATACAGAAACGTCAAAAAGTGAAACCCTCAAAATTCTCAGACCTTCACTCTCCACTCTTTATGCCCCCAGTTGTACTCCTGAGGCCGTCATAGCAGAATATTTTTTGGCAAGAGATGATGAAGACACATTTAATCTTTTTTTAAAAAAGGGTGGGGGCGCGGATGCATGGAGTACCAGAGAGAAGGCTCAGAGGTTAGAGTGCTATTTCCTGCTCTCGGAAAGGAATACACATCAGACTCACAACCCAGCTGCTACACTCCAGGGAATCCAGTCTTCTGGCTGCTGTGGGCCTCTGCACTCACATGCGTGTGCGCTCCTCACAGGCACACATATATACATTGTGTGTGCACGTGCGCGGTTTTCAAGATAGAGTTTCTCAGTCCCTGGCAGTTCTAGAACTCACTTTGTAGACCAGGCAGGCTTCGAACATAAAGAGATCTGCCTGCCGCTGCTACCCTAGTGCTGGGATTCAAGGCAAGTAAAAGCTGAATTTTAGGACACGACTGTAATTCCAGTGCTGGGGATGAGTCCCAGGGGCTTGCTGGCCAGCCAGCCACTCTAGCCCAAATGGTGACCCCTAGGTCTGCAGAGAGACCTTCATCTCAAGCATAAGGTGGAGTACAGTGGAGGAGGCATTGACCTTTGAACTCTACATGGGCACCTACACACCTATGCTCATACATGCACAATAAATAAATAATTGAGTAAAAGCTTGTGAGTTACATGTATTTTCATTTAAAGAAAAAAAGAAAACTTACTGCTCTTCCAGAGGACCTGGGTTCATTTCCCAGCACCCATGTCAAACAGCTCATAACTTCCTGTAACTCTAGCTTCCTGATCCAACACCCTCTTCTAGCCTCAGAGAACCCCCCTACACGAGGCATATTCTCACATAGACACACACATGTGAATAGAATTTTTTCAAGGTTTATTATATATAAAAATATACAGTATTCTGCCTGCATGCCAGAAGAGGGCACCAGATCTCATTATAGATGGTTGTGAGCCACCATGTTGTTGCTGGGAATTGAACTCAGGTCCTCTGGAAGAGCAGCCAATGTTCTTAACCTCTGATCCATCTCTCCAGCCCCCATAAAAAACTTTATAAGTGATATAAAAATGCCTTTAATCTCAGCACTTGGGAGGCAGGGACAGGCAGATGTTTGAGTTCATGACTAGCCTGGTCTACAGAAACCCCTCCCCCCTAAAAAAAACCAAGATAAATAAATAAATAAGAAAAGATAGCATGTTTCAAAGCTTTATTTAAGCATTAGAAAACTTTTTCCAAAAAAAGATTCAAAGGAATGGTTGTTTATGTAGTTCATAAAGAGAAGAATATCTCATAGTTGCTATGTTAGATATAATATGGTTTTATTTTACAGGGTGAGAAAAAAAATCACAATATTTGGAATGAATTTTCCCTACTAGGGTATACAAATCCAAATCATACCGTGTTAATGTCCTCAGAGTTATAAACTATATCTTCATCAATAGAAAACTGTCCATTAAATAAACGTAGGACAGCTGGGCGGTGGTGGCGCACACCTTTAATCCCAGCACTCCAGAGGCAGAGACAGATGGATCTCTGTGAATTCAAGGCCAGCCTAGTCTATAAGAGCTAGCTCCAGGACAGCTCAGACTGTTACACAAAGAAACCTTGTTTTGAAAAAAAAAAAAACCAAAATAATAAGTAAATAAATAAATAAGCTTATGACAAGGTCAAGTCTTCTAGAACCCACATGACATCTACAGAGCCTTACTATTGGAGAATGTCCTTCCTGGCTTGCGGTATTTACATTGTTTTATAATCTTAAATTCAAACTTGGCCTTAAGGAAAGGACAGTATTGTCACTATAACTTTCAGGAAGAGGTGACCCAACTGAATGGCTTCAGTTCATCTGGCTCCCATAAGGGAGAGAGCCCTGATAATCAGAGTTCAATCAGGGAATCCGGGGACTCTGTACCTAGGACTGGAAGGACATCAGACACTGTCGTTTCTGCATCTGCATTCACCCAGAGCCTTTCTGCAATTGCCAGGACCATCAAAGTCAAACCTCTCTGGGAGGCAAGTGCCTGGAACATGGGCCTCAGGACTTGCAGGAGAAACACCATCAGCATATACTCAAGATGAAGCCAGCCCTGCCAAGTGGCGGCAGGAATCTGGGCTAGGTTCCAGGGTGTGCAGGCTGAGGTTGAAGGCTGCCAGAGCAGCTGGGACATTGCGCTGCTTCCATTTGGCCTGGTATCCTCTGCATCTGGGACATAGCTGGCTTCCTTAGCTCTTCTGTGCTGGTCTCTCCTGTATCCTGTGTTCTTTCTGAGTGGCTTACCTTCTCTAGTGGGGCTCCAAGTCTGGGAGGGTTTTGATAGAAATTAGTTTGGGATCTCTTTCAGGTCGGATGCTTTGGGTCTGTCCTCGTGCGTGATTGATATTTTAGCTAACAGAATTTTGGTTGAAGTCATTTTCCTTCGGAGTTTTGAAGCAATCGCTCCATCCTGACCTGCTGTTGAGCATTGCTTGGTCCTTCGGCCAGATTTCCTCCGTCAGTGAATGCCGTGAGTGCGGGTCTGTCTTCATCCATGAACCCTTAAAACACAACAATAGAGGAGCGTGAGAATGTGTCATTGTGTGTGAACTTTCACTTCTGGTTTTCTCATTGCTTTTGTTTCTTAATATCTCTCCCCTCGCATATGCTGCTATTGCTTGCTTGAGATAGTTTCTCATGCTGTTAGCCCAGGCTGGCCAGGAACTCATTATGTAGCCTCGGTTTTCCATGAGCCCACAGCTGTCCCACCTGATTCTCCCCAGCACTGACACTACAAGCAGGACGACTATGCCTGACCTTTTGTTTAGTTTGTCTTTTCCCCCCAGACCTTGCTCTGTAACCCAGGTTGGTCTAAAACTTGCTCTAAGTTCAGTCCATACTTAAGTTACAGCCTTCCTGCCAAAGTCTTCTCGATGCTAAGGATTCAGATGGATACTTTATTTTCTTTAGAACTTTTTAAAGTTTATTTTTAATTTTCTCTGTGCTGGTGTTTTGCCTGCCCTTACATGTGTGTCACATGTGTGCCTGGTGGCCATGAAGACCAGAGGGCCTTTCAGTCTCCCAGACCAGAAGTGTAGTTACAGACGGTTGTGAGTGGCCATGTGTATGCTGGGAGTCATACCACAGTCCTCTGTGTGATAGCGGATGCTCTTCACCCTTGAGCCATCTCCTCAGCTCCTATCTTATTTTCTTGACTCTTTATTTCTCATTTTTTTTTTTGTTTTGTTTTTTTTTTTAGGTCTCTAAACCATTTATTTCTCCCGGTCGGAGGGTGGACATTGCTACGTGTGGACGAAAACAGAACACTGCGTGCAGCAAGGCTCCAAGAACAAGAACAGCGGTGCAGGTAAGTTATTAGGCCAGCACTCAGGCGAAGGTGGAACCGTTCCAGCCCACGTTGGCTGCGCTCATGTCGTAATAGTTGATGTAGATCCGGTCAGGGCTGATGTGCAGGCGATCAGCCAGCAGGCCGCACAGCAACTTGCTGTAGGTGCGGTTCTGCGCGCCGCCGATTTTGCCGATGCTGTGCAGACTGCATAGGGCGCAGGGGTCGCTAGAACCGCTAAAAGTCATTAGCTGGTCCGGGACCACGTGCACTGCGATGTACTGTGCCGGCTTGCCGGTGGCCTGCGCCAGCTGCTGGGTGAGCTCGGAGAGAAGCCCCTCTGGCACTGAGGCGCGGGGAACGTTGGTGTTCACGGTGAACATCGGCATCGTGGCGGAGGGATTGCACGCAGTAACTAGAGGACGGTGA